CAGATCCTCCCATACATCACAGGTGGGATGTACACCATCGAGTGAACACGCTGCAAACACACACACACACACACACACACACACACACAACGCGCCATCGTGTTGAGTGGCTGATGGCATCACATGCGAGCAGTGCCGCTTTCGCTGGCATTCACGCTCCGACATCTCAACGTGCATCGTTACCTCATGCTTCGTCAAGTTCTCGCCGCCACACCTCACCCTTCCCTGCATTGTTTGTTGACTCTCAACACGGCCACCATCACGTCAGCTGCGCACGAGGACGCAGTGCCGCACATTGTGCACGCGCTGGCGGTGGTCGGCGACGTGTACTTCCCGCTCATGCACACGGCCATGCAGGTAAGATGACAGACTCGTGGTGGTGGTGGTGGTGATGGTGATGGTGATGGTGGTGGTGATGGTGATGGGGATGGTGGTGGTGACGACGCCGGTTGGCAGTGATAGTCCAGTTGCTGCCTCCCTCACGCAACCACAACTCACATGTCCACACACACACACACACACACACACACACACACACACACACACACACACACACACACACACACACACACACACACACACACACACGCACGCACGCACGCACGCACGCTTCTAGGTGCTTGAGAAGTGGATTGATCAGGGCATGACTGCCGTGGCCGCTGCTGCCCAGTAGACGCGCTACTTCCATGGTCACCCAAGCGAGCGAGAGAGTGGGTGTTTCCAAGGAGAAGAAGGCGAAGAAGAAGAAGGACAAGAGTAGCAGACATGTACCCATTCATCCCCCCCCACCTCCTCATCGTTCCTTGTTCGGTTTTGTTTTGTTTCGCTTCTGTGCTTCTCCGTGTTTCGCTTCTGTGCTTCCTTGTGTGCGTTTCCATTGAACAGACATGCACGGTGTGTCATGGAAGAGGGATGGTGTGTGTGTGTGTGTGTGTGTGTGTGTGTGTGTGTGTGTGTGTGTGTGTGTGTGTGTGTGTGTGTGTGTGTGTGTGTGTGTGTGTGTGTGTGTGTGTAAAACAACCGGGAAATTGTATCATTCGTGTTTGTGTCAAAAACAACCGGGAAATTGTATCATTCGTGTTTTGCGTATCAATCGTGATACAGATGGCGTTGGGAGGTATTGAACAACACCACAAGCCGCAGCGGAACGTGAGCTCTTCCCGCCAATTTGAACACCCACACCACTGCCACGAAGATGAGGGGTGGAAGAGTGGGAGATGTGGTGACAATGGACGCGGTGAAGGCACTTGGTTGTCACAAGGCTGTGATGATCTTTGGCCCCCAGGCACATCGACGCAGCATTCAAGGGACGCTGGTGGCTCGCAGCGAAGAATCACGGGGAAGATGGGTCGTGGAGTGGGCCGAACAGGACATTGGCCGCGCTGGCATGCGAACAGAAGTGAGTGCGCGCTCGTTGCAGCTGGCGCAAGCGCCACCACCGCCGATTGGACGTGTCGCCTCAACCCCAAGTGCACCAGCGCCACCCTCCACGCATGCCCCAAGCACTGTGACACCCGACATGCCGCCTGTGCCACCCCAGGGCCCAACGTCCCCCACATCTCATGCAGCACAGCCAGCTTCATCGTTGGATTCCCCACGCGCAGCCGAAGCCGTTCAAGCGCCACCACCAGCCCCGGAAGTGCACCCACCCTCCAGTATTGTCCCCGCGCATGCCACAAGTTCTCCCGACAGCATGGTGCCGCCAACTCCACCCGACCCCGCAGCTCTTCCTGTCAGCGGTCCCGATCACACGGCACCACCCCCTTCCTCACAACCGGCCACGACAATGTCACCCAGCCTTCCACTCGACCCTCCCGGTGCCGCCGCATCCGCGAATGACACAGTGGTGAAGCATGGTGTTGTGTGGACTCGAAGGCACGACACTGTCACACTGACAGGCCCGGCCCACCGTGAGCAACACCGCTTCTCGTCGGGACTTGATCTTCTGACAGCTGCAGACACGCGCGAGCCACTCCACTACTTTCTGCACATGATGCCACTACAGTTCATCCGCGAAACAACCGAGTTCACGTCGAGAACGTTGTTTCAGCAACGCCAACGTCCTTGCACGGAACATGAGGTCCTCAAGACAATTGGGCTACTCGTGGCGTGCTCCGTCTCCGGCATGTCAAACCTACGCGAGAACTGGAGTGGAGGTCACATGTTCAAACCCTCCCCACGGCTCGGCGACCTTTCTGGGATGGGCGTTCGGAGGTTCGAGGTTCGTCTCGCTTGCCCGTGCTGCATGCTCATTGCTCCTTCCTCGCGTGGCTGTTCCTGCTCATCAATGATTGTGCTCCCCCCCTTCCACACAAGCAATAACCTTACATGTGTGCCGCTTGTATGATATGATATGCAGGCGATCCTGGCGGCGCTCACATTCTCTGAGCGCGAAGCAACGGACAACGGGTTCAGAGCCTTTGCTGACCCTCTCATTCACATGTTCAACACCCAGAGAAGGCGCATTACCCCCGGTCACTTCCTGGTGATTGATGAGTCGATGTCAGGTTGGCTGGGTGGCTGGGAATCGGAAGGCGCGCCACCTCACCGAACCTACATCCCTCGCAAGCCTGTACCCAAAGGGATGGAGTTGAAGAAGTTGGCGGATGGCGAGACAGGGATCATGCTCCAACTCGAACTCCAAGTGTGTGTGTGTGTGGTGTGTGTGTGTGTGTGTGCGTGCGTGCGTGTGTGCTTGCGTGTGTGCGTGCGTGTGTGCATGCGTGTGTGTCTGAGCCATGTTGACGCTTCAACGCCTTCAACTCACTGTATCTGTCACTGACACGTGCACAGGAATCCAAAGATCATATGTACGACTGTGATTACGCTGCCTTTGGCAATGCAGCTGCATGGCCTTTGCGATTGACAAAACCCTGGCATCACACTGGCCGCACTGTCCTGGGCGACTCTGCGTTCGCGAGTGTTCAAACCGCACTTGCTCTCAAGCAGCACGCAGGCCTCGGTTTCATCGGCGTGGTCAAGACATCAACACGCTCGTTTCCTCAGAAAGAGCTCGAGGAATGGGTTGGCGCGCATTCCGGCGAGGAAGCGACAGCGACAGCCAACGTGCAAGGGTGAGATGAGACACGCGCTGTTCTTGTGCTCCCCAATGTGTGTGGTGCGCATCCTCTGCAGTGCCTCTGCTTCACCCCATGACTGGCACACTGATGGTTGCCCTGTGTTGACCTGACTGCTTCATTTCAGGGTTCCACTGATCGCACATGTTTGGAGAAACTTTGCTGCAATCCGGTTCGTCGCCAGCTGTTCATCGACCGAGCCGGGCGAACCCGCAAGGAAGCGCGCAAAGACGTTCTCAAGTGGCAACTCGAGCACCAGTGAGAGCGCTAGTGGCAGCATCATCGGCGTTGAAAGCAACAGCGACACCAACCGTGCCACCGATCCGCCACAGCTTGACTCTGCTGCTGGTGATGATGATGATGATGATGATGATGATGATGATGATGATGTTGATGACGGCAGTACCGAGAATGATGCACGCAGCACCTCCGAACGTGTAATCAGACGCAGCACACTGGTTGCCAATTATCAGAAGTACTCGAACACTATTGACGTCCACAACCACAGAAGACAGGCGTGCCTTGGAATTGAGCGACATTGGCGAACCCGGCAGTGGAAGAATCGCTTGTTCTCGACCATCTTAGGTATGTGCGTCGTCGACGCCCACCTCCTGTATCAGCACCGTACAGGCGAGCGCCTGTCTACTGAGGCGTTCGCTGTGCGGCTTGCTCAATCCCTCATCAACAACACACTCAGTGGCCACGACGAGGGCCGGCCAGCGCGACGAAGGCGCCAGCTTGGCGTGCGGTCAACAGTGTCCCGTCCCACTCGTGTGCCCCCACAACACGTGCTTGTACCGCTGCAGGAGCTGCCCGAATATCAACGCAGTGGTGCAGCCAAGTACCCGCGTCGGCACTGCTCAGAGTGCAAACGCCTCACCCTCCTGTTCTGCTTGTACTGCCATGTTGTACATGCAAAGGTTGTCCCTGTGTGTGGCACCAACCACCACACCTGCTTCATCGCGCATGCCGACCGAGAGGCAGACGATGACGACGCATTTTAGAATTGTTGACATGATTTCATGCGCGAACAGAAAAATGGAGTAAATGTTCATGGAATTTTCTATCACTGCTATTTATGGTGACGAAAACATGTGAAAGCAGGGCTTGTGGTATCAGCGATGATACGGTGTATCATTGTTGCTGTCCATTTAGCCAACAACAACAACCAAAACAACAACAACAACAACTCGCAGTACTACATTTTGTGATGTTTTTTTAAAAATGCACGAAACATCCCATTTTCATGGCCAAATTTTTTTCGTGTCCTCCCTCTCTGTTGTCGCGTCGCACCTTCTGCTGCCTCCATCCATCCAATCAATCAATCATCAGCATCAGCAGCATCCATTCACCACGACACCTGCACACCCACACGCCAAACACTGTGCGGTGTTTGCTTCGTGTTTGCTTGTGCGTCTTGCTCGTCGATTCGACACACACACACCTGTTTGAAACCCGGTCTTTGTGCAGGGCGAGTGCTTTGCATTCTTATTCCTTTGGTCTGATCTCTTGTGATTTCGCTCATCTCCCGAGCGCGTGTGTGGTGTTGCCCAACAACAACAAGAGACAACAACAACAACACACCCATCAGCATCATCTTCACCAGCACAGCACCATCACAGCAGCAGCGTGCGCGCTTCACCAGGCAGCCTCTGATTCCTTCCTTCTTCCTTCCACCTTCTGCTTCTCCCCCTGTTCCAACAACCGCCACCCCATGGCATCACCGGCCACGATGACGGGCGCCGCGAGGCCAATCCATCTCCCGGTGCGTCGGCGCCACCGCGCGCCCTCCACGCCACACCAAGAGCAAGCACAAGAGCAAGAGCAACACCAGCAGCAAGAACGCGACACTGGTAAAGACGTAGATGCCACCAAGACGCCGCCCACGCTGATGGAGGAGATCCGGGCGCTCCTGCACTCGGATTTGGGGCGCATGCCAGATGTGGTTGACTTTATCCGCAAACACGCGCACAACATCGACTCCCTCCCGCGCGTCGCCCTCATGAACGTATGCACATGCTGTGTTTGTGTTGGCGAGAGGGGTCGTCTATGCCTGCGTTCATGTGTTGTGTGGGTGTGGGTGTGTTGGGGGGGGGGGGGTGTATGTGTGGGTGTGGGTGGGTGTATGTGTTGTGTGGGTGTACGTGGGTGTATATATGTGTGGGTGTGCGTCTATCTGCGTCTGTGTCTGCCTGTGTGTCTGTGTCTGCCTCTGCGTCTGTGTCTGTGTCTGCCTGTTATGTTTACGTGGCGTGCATGTTGTGCTGCTTGCTGCCTACCAGACAATGAACTCGCCACCAGTCATTCACACGCACACGCACACGCACACACGTACATACACACCCCATCGCCACGCTCCTTCCGTGCCTCACCATCCCACCCCCAAATCACAGATGCGTGACCTGTCCAACTCCTTCATCAAGAAGATTGCGCATCTGCCAGCCGTCGAGTCTGTCCTCATCGACTATCTCATGGCTGAGGATGAGCAGTGGGCCGCATATCTTACAGAGCAGTTCAAGTCTGGCGTTGCGTTCGTCGACGCGTTCCAGCAGGGCCTGTACAGCCGCTTCCCGTCGTGGACAGTGCCGGAGACGATTACACGCCGGCTCGCATCCATGCCCGCCGTCAAGCAGGCGGTCGTGTCGTACCTCACGTCCATGGAGGCAACAGGCGGCAGTCTCCTTCGCCGCGTCGTCGCCAAGAACGTCGAGCACATGCGCGATTTGCAGTCGCTGGTTGCGCGCCATCTTGACTCTCTGCCAACACTCAAACAGCTGCGAGAGGCCCACTACGAAGGCATCCCTGAACTCAAGCACTTTGACGTGGGTTTGATTGATTGCGTGTGTGGTGAGAGGGGTTGGGAATGTGTGTGTGTGTGTGTGTGTGTGTTGTGTTGTGTTGTGTTGTGTGGTGTGTGTGTGTGTGTGTGTGTGTGTGTGTGTGTGTGTGTGTGTGTGTGTGTGTGTGAGGTGGCTGCCCTTCATTTGCTTGCATTGTGTTCTCTGCATTGTGCTCCCCGTGTGCATTTGGCACAGAGCCTCCTCATCACCA